CTCTCTGCAAGACTGACCAAGAGACAGCGTACCTGACTACCATGGAGGATCCTCATCTTCCTAAAGCAACTAGACCTTGAGGACCAAGGAGAGCAAGGAAGACTAATTCTCTGAGCGCGTGCTGCATTCTCATTTGTGCAACAGGAAATTATTTTTGCCCTAAAGGTGTTACTGCTGGGATTATAAAGAGGAATAATTATTCCTTCCCAGTTATTGTAGAACATTTTACTTTAGGGACTGTAATGGTTACGTCGTTTGGACTCCCATGTGGTTGACCACAGTTCAAGTCCTGGACCCAGTGGCTTAAAATTCATACCAGGCGCGGGAACCAGCAGTTAGCATAATGGCTATGTCGCTGGATTCCCAAGTAGTCGACCGCGGTTCGTGTCCCGGACCCGGTGGCTTAAAACTCACGCCGGGCGCGTGTGCGTGCGTGCCCAAGATCCCGAGAGGAGAATGGAGGAGAAGGGATTGCGGCGTGACCATCCCCCCTGGGGGGTGATTTCTCGCTTTCTGTCTCTATGTCTCTCTCTGTCTGTCTGGCGAGCGCACGCGCCCTACAGTGAAAATCTCTCCAAAAAAAAAACCTCATACCAGGCGCGTGTGCGTGTATGCCCAAGATCTCAAGAGGAGAATGGAGGAGAAGGGGCTGTGGCATGGCCATCCCCCCAGGGAATGGTTTCTCACTTTCTGTCTCTCTGTCTCTTTGGCGAGCACACGCAGCTTATAGCAAACATTTCTCTTAAAATAAAAAAAGAAAAGAATAATTTACTTAACTTTTTAAAAAACCCTGCAAGACATTGTTCGGATGATGTTGTATAGATGTCCCTATAATATTTGCCACTTCTTTTTTAAGAGAGACTTTTGCTAAAGGGAGTGCGTGCTTGCCAGAGAGACAAGAGAGACTGAAGCGAGAACACCCGCCAAGGGCGATGGCTATGCCGCAATCCATTCTCCTCTTGGATCTTGCTCATGGACGCACACACATCTGGCATGAATTTGAAGTCTCCGGGTCTGGGACTCCAATCATGGTCGACTACATGGGAGTCCATTGATGTAGCCATTATGCCATCTCCTGGTCCCTCTCTACTTCTTCTTCTTCTTCTTTTTCTTTTTTTTTTTTTAGAATTATTTATTTAACTTGTTATTATCATTCATTTTTAAAATTTGACCAGAGAGAGAGAGATAAAGGGAAAGTAAGAAAGCAAGCCACCAGGTCTGGGACTTGAACCGCTGTCAGCTATGTGGGAGTCCAGCACCTTAACCACCATGCCAGTTGCCGACCCCTTTGGCACTTATTGCGACTGTCATTCCTTCTTGCATTTTGCTAATACGGTAAGATATGCTGAGTCATGATGGGGAAAGTCCAGAGCATGACAGGAACTCCAAGAAAAGGGACCGGTGCGATCTGAGGGTCAGGGAAGAAATGACATTGGGTTGAAACTTGAAGGACAGGTTCACAAAGTGGGCAAAGGAAGACTGTCCAGGTGGGGGAAGGCCCCACAGCAGGAGACAGCTTGCCAGTGCAGGAAGGTCACGTGGTTAGGCATGACCTGGAGGGAAATAAGAGAGGCTGGCAGCTGGTGGAAGGTTGTGGAAGACCACATTAGCTATGGAGGGTCTCTATGTGGCCACTTCCAGGTTTTTGTTTGTTTGTTTGTTTTTGTTTGTTTGTTTTTAAGTTTTAAAAGAGAATGATCGATTCGATTTATTTTATGACTATTTCAAATTTGCTACAGGGTACACATATTCACCAGAGAGAGACAGAGAGGGAAGCGAGGAGTCAAGCCGCTAGGTCTTAGACTCAGACTGCGGTTGGCCATGTGGAAGTCCAGCTCCTCACCCACCATGCCACCTGCTGGCCCCTTTTTTGTTTTGTTTTCAGGTTTTTGTTTGTGTGGTTTCTGGAGAGAGACAGAGAGAGGGGGGATGGCTACACTGAAGTCCTCCATTCTGTTCCCCGTCATGTACTCATGACCGGCACAATTTTCAAGACATTGGGTCCAGGACTTAAACCACAGTCAGGTCCAGGACTTGAACCACAGTCAGTCATGTGGGAATCCAGCACCTTAACCACCATGCCACCTGCTGGCCCAGCTATTCTAAACTGGGCAGGAATCAATGAGAACCAAGCATACTCAATGGTAGGCATGGGACTTCAGTCAGTGTGGGGGTGGTGACTAGATACCACTGAATTTTGCTGTCACTTATGTCATTTACCAAAGAGAAGAGGCCCAGCTATGGCAGCACACTCTGGTAGGTGCTATGATGTGGCAGCCTGAGGCCATGTGGTAGGCCAAGGCCACGTGGCAGGCCTGGGATGGATTTCTGGCCCACCCTAAAAGCTGGTTATGCTGCGCCTATAGTCCAAGCTACTCAGGAGGACAGTGACAAAGCAAGACCATGTCTTTAAAAAGAGAGAAAGAAGAGAAAAGCATAGTAGAAAATTCTGCCCTGGATCTTTGGAGAGAAACAAGAGGAAGATTAAAGACACTGATAGAGATGGGTGGGTTTTTTGGAAGTGACCTTCAAGGCACAGTAGGGTGACTGCTCTCTCGCTGTGCTCTCCCTGCTCGACAGTGCATCACTACTTCGTGGATATCATAACCTGGAACAAGAGCGTGAGACGAGGCTCCATTACGATCAGACTGAGGGACGGAGCTGGAAGCACCACAGAGTCCAAGATCGATCAGTGAGTTGAGCTGCAGTGGTTGGCAGTTTGCTTTCTCCTTTTGCTCAGAGAAATTACGTTCTAAATATGCCTGCGTGTTATTTATAGATCTGGCTTCGGCCTGTTCTGTAAGAGGTACGCGGCGGCGACTGGGCAGGTCCCTGCACCAGCTCTGCCAGGCTCTTCACAAGTGGGAGAGGCCCGAGGGCTGCCTTTCCGTCCTGCCCCTCCTCATCCGCGCTCTCCCCCCTCCCTCTCTCCTTTACTTCCTTCAATTACACCTTCAATTACAAAATTCATCTTTGCTTTCTGTAAAGGATTTTTTTGGTAAGTTTGCTATAATGCATATACTCTCACTAGGAGAGGGAGGGAGAGAGAGGGAAGTGAGAAATCAACCCCCCCCACACACACACACACACCCCGGGAGGATGGCCACGCTGCAATCCCTTTTTCTCTATTTTCCTCTCAGGATTTTGGGCACACACACTCCTGCTCCCAGCATGATTTTTAAGCTGGTAAATCTGGGATGCTTACTGCTTAGTCAACCATGTGGGATCCCGCTGCCTCGACCCGTCACCTGGCTGGCCCATAAAGGATTTTATTTTTAAATGTTTATTTTTTTCCTTTCTTCCATGAGAGAGACAGAGACAGAGAGATAGGCACTCCCAACAGGGTCTTCACGCCATGACCCCCCACCCCAGCCAAGCCAGCCTTGGCCAGCCAGGTATTACAGGCACACTGGCATGCTCAGGAGTTTGCGGGATGAGAACCCGAAGTCTTTCCCACGCGTGACGGAGAACCGTGTGCTCCTGATGGACCAGGTTCTGTTGGGGGCATGTCGTCTCTGTCTCCCTCTTTCTCATGCAAGTGCACACACCCTCTAGCATTAAAAAAATGAAAAAGAAAGAAAGAAAACGATATTAAGGCCTCTGTCTGTCTTTCCTCTTCCTTTTTAACATTGCTTACCTACAAATTTCTGCTTGCTCTCGTTAGCTTTCTATATGCATTTAAAAACATGATCTCTGTTGGGGACCAGCAGGGGGCGTGGTGGTTAAGGTGCTGGACACTCCCACATGGCCAATAATGATTTGAGTCTCTGGTGGCTTGCTTTCTCACTTTCCTTCTCTCTCTCTCTGTGTGTGTGTGTCTTTCTCTGGTCAAAACAAACAAACAAATTAATAAAATTAAGTATATGATAAAAAATACACTC